TTAATTTGTAAGCAGGGGTTTTGCCATATTAATGTCAGCAAACACTGGATAATGCTGGGGAGGCAGCAGTTACGTTGCTGTGTGTCTGCTGCTGCATTTGGGGTGCTTATTGGGAACGGGGGTAGGAGCTGCCCTGCACAGCGCTCCCAAAATGCCCGCCCCAGCAGAGCTGTGTGCATGTGCAGGGATGCATGTGGCCCAGAGCTGGCTGAGCACCCTCACCTTCGGGCTGCGAGGTGGGGCTGGCATCGTGGAGGGGCCACAGGGAACAAGGGTCCCTCTGAGGCCACCTCAGGGAGCAGGGTCTTCCTGGGCAAGGGGTGAGGCTGAGACCTGATTGCTCTCTTGCAGATGGAGGGCTCCGAGGAGCTAGAGAGCAGCCTCCTGATACAGCCCTGGGCTTCTGTTTGCTTTGGTGAATCCACTTTTCTTGCTAAAGTGTGCTTCAGGGATACTGGCTACATCCTGTTGATCTCTGACCTCAGCAGCGTCTGGTATGAGAGTGCTGACACCGAGGCCGTGAGACAAAGGTCCAAGGTAAGTGTCTGGAAAGTCCAGGGACATCCTTTTCTCCTTGCAGCAGCTGACATCCCAGTGTAAACTGTTTGGTGACACAATAGCTGTTGGATCTGACAGGGCTGGAGTACAAATGCCCAGCCTGGGAAGTCCCAGGGGTGTCTGTGCCCAAGCACTGTCACCCCGCTTGGCCGAGCACCCTCCTCCTGGGGGAGTGGGCCAGGCTATTTAGCATTCCCAGGGCAGCCGGGTGTTCACTGGGGCTGCATGCAGAGGCTGGCGTGCTTGTTTCACTTGTGGGCTGGACAGGCAGCTGGTTTCTCCAAGACCAGTGTACTAAGGAGGAGCTTGAAACAAGGCTGCCTTCCCACTGGTTGCAGAGTCCACGTTCGTAGCCAGGCACAGGCTCCCATGGGGTGCCCTGTCAGCACAGCCCCCAAAACACCTGGGGCCATCCCCTCACCCTTAGCTGCGTGCCCAAGCACCCATGTGCCACTCCATCTGCAATGTCCCTCTGTCACAAAATGGTTGCGCTGAGTGGCTGGTGGCAGGAGGTGGGGGCATGTGGTAGCAGCCATCCCTCAGCTCTGGCAGGTTAGCTGAGTTGTGACAGCTCTCAGCCAGACTGTGACACTCGTGGTGGCATGCAGGGCAGCTGCGCCAGTGGAGACCATTGCGCTCTCCTGGGCTGGCGGGGCAGAGGAGCCTTCCCAGCTTGGCTGGCCTGGGAGAACCAGCGGGAAATGTCCTGTCGTGGAGCTGGAAGCCAAGGCCCAGGAATGGATTTTTGCAGCACTGGGACATGCAGAAGTAGCCTGACTCCTTCTGTGCTAGAGTTCTTGCTGCTTTTTCCTAGTGCTGAGCTCTGCAGGGCGTTGCTGTACCCCTAACCTTGCCTTTCCCCAGGAGCTGAACAAGCGGCTGACGGTCCCTGTGTCCTCCTTCTTGCACCGCTTGCGCAGCCTGATGTCCCCCTTGCTGGCAGGGCAGCTGGACGCCACCACCTCCTTCTCCTGCCAGCACACTGTCAGCAGGCTCAGCCTGCACGTGAAGAGCGAGCTCTTGGGACTGCCCTTCTACTGGGACTTCCACTGCGGCCCTGCTCCCATGGAAATGGTGAGTGAAGCTGTGGAGAGTTTGGGGAGGGGGACAGCCAAAATTAAGGATTATCACCTAATGCTTGGAGGCTTTAGGGTGTCTCGGGCCATGCTGGTGGCTGTGGGGTGTGTGGCTCTGCTTGCTACCGCTCCTGAGGTTCACCATCCCCATTTCTTTCCATTGAGCCTTTGACACCTTGGTTGGTGCCTTGCACCTTGCGGTGCTGGGTTTGCTGCCCTCTCACCCATGGGCTCAACCTGCTTGTCCTTCGCCTATGGCAGTTGGCTGGGCAGCGTTTTCTGGGTTATACCTTGCTAGAGCCATGCTCTGTCCTGCTGCCAGAGGTGACACCTGCCCTTCCACGGCAACCTTGCTGCCCCAGGATGTGGGGTCTGACGGGGGCCAGCCCTGACGTGAGTATCACGGCCAGGAAGGTGATGTGGTCCAGACGCTGTCCCATGGCAGGTGCCCCCCCACAGGAGCCCAGCTCTGCCCTGCAGCTGCACCAGAGCTGCACCAGCCGGCCATGCTCTCCTCTCTCTTGCTGCGTGCCGGCTCTGTAGGGCTCAGAGCAGCCAGGACACCAGCAGCATATGCCACTACCAGAGCACTAAGATGTCCCGTTTGGGATGATGCCCTGCCAATGCCCTGGCACAGCAGAGTGATGCTGTTCCCCTTTGGCACACACTGTGAAGCGGGGCACAGAGCCACAGATACCCCGAAGGACCCACAGTGGGGTCTGCCCGGTTTTTAAGGGGTTGCTCTTACCATGGGGCTG